TATGCAAACACACACAGACTGACTGTAGCAAAGCATACACTCACAACACCAACGAGAATAAGTTTAAAGTATATGTAATGAGGATGAATGACTTCTAAACATGTTTCCTGTCTGTATTTCATAATAGGAAAAATGCCTCATAGTGATTCTAAGGATTATCATCATTACCAGCAATTTCATCTGAGCTCATAGCACAGCATGGCTGCATTATTTAAAACTGTATATGAATGTGCGTGTGTGTGTGTGTGTGTGTGTGTGTATGTGTGTGTGTATGTGTGTGTGTATGTGTGTGTGTATGTGTGTGTTGTTTGCGGGTGCACCATCTGTATCAGTGTGCCATGGGTTCATGAGTACTTCCTTGCATGCACCCTGTGTCTCTTGCTTGAATGAAAACTGGAAGTGCGGTGTTGAAGCGTTTGACTACGCAGTGACCTCAACATACTGTGTTCATAATGCACCATTGTTCCACTCCATGTTTTAAATGTCACTGAATCTATGGCAAATGAGCAGAAGCTAAATAGAACAGAAGTAGGGGTACTACGCTTTGGGGCATGAGAGCCATATACCCCAGCACATACTCCAGAAATAAAAATAAATAAATAAAAAAAAGTTAATTTGCTGGCCCAATTACCACCTTGTTTGCTTTGTCAAGAGCCAGACCATTACTTAAAATTGATTATCTGTATCACCTTAATTTAGGATTTTAACCATGGAAAAATTAGGAGAAAAAAATGTCCATTTTCACCTCATTGGCTTTCTGTCCAAGCTACTTTTCTTTGATGTTCCCTAGCTCATGCAGACACACATTCACACACACACACACACACACACACACACACACACACACACACACAACAGATCTCACACCACACACACACCACACACACACCACAACATACAACACCACACACACACACACACAGGCATACACAGAGAGACATATCCACCCACACTCACACTCATAACACACCCATACTTCTAAGTCTTAACTTATTCACAAACACAAATAAATGGTAAAAAAAAAACAGAATAAAAATTCTGCCAAACCCAACTACAGTACTAAATTCAGTATGCAGACTGCACTCTCCCCACCTCAGGACACTGCGAGAAATTGTGAGAGTGTTTGTGTGCATGTGTGTGTGCGCATGTGTGTGTGTTTGCTTGTGCCTTGTGTGCCTTGTATATTTGTGGTTGTGAGTAAAAGCATATGAAAGAGAATAGAGGATGTTGGTTAAAAACATTTCACTTGCAGATCTTTCAGAAAAATCAGTGAGTTGGCGCGACCGGCAGTCACACTCGAGTTTGTGTGTGTGTGTCTGTGTGTACCGACTATATGTTTGTTTATAACTTCCCATCAGACCAGTGGTAGTCAGGGCTTGAATCCAGCACTAAAGAGATTAACAAATCAAACAAGCATGTAGATTATACCCAAAATTAAGTCAAAGTTAAAAAGGAAGAAGAAGAAGAAAAATAATTTTTTAAAAAGTCAGTCACATTGAGTTCATTAAACACTTCCATGTCTCCATGCTACTGCCCCCACATCCCCAGACTACTTGAATTTGGTGAGATCCCATTTAGGCAGTCCCTGGAGTGCCCCTCCACCCCTCCAGAACCACGTCAGAAAACATCAGAGGAGTGGGGAAAAAATGAAATAATAAACGGAACATAACACAGCAACCAATATCCCATCAAAGGAGCGGCTGAGGATATTAATATCGACACAGAATAGAAAATGAGGCACTTAGACATACAAATCGCATTGGCACATTTGCATAAAAACAAGATTAGCATATGCACCGAGAGGGAAGGAAAATGTTCCTCTCGCTTCTCTTGTATTTTTCTTTTTCTTTTTTTTAAAGGTTGAGTTGAGATGCATCAGGAAACACTGACTGACTTCTAACTCAGATGCGAAAGCGTACCTGTGCCAAAATGCACACGTATACGTACGTACATATATACATATGAGCACCATAATTGTGTGACACAATTATTGTGCATACTGAAGCAACACCTGAAATGACTAATGACAATTAAACACCCACCAGATAACAAAGGACAAAGCCAAAGCAACACCTACACCTTATGCTGAGACACCACACACATACATGTGGAGACAAAGATACTCTGACTATACACATATACAAGCACACACAATATGTGGCATTCAGAAATGAATGTACACATTCACAACATGACATCACAAACAGAAAGGTTTAATCTCGTTCGAATGCATGTAGCCATTACTGCCAATAAAAGCTCTGTGGTAAGATGCGTGTGGATAGAGAGGACTTTAAGGATGAGGACTAACTGGCTGGTTTTGCAAATGTATGTCTGCACTTTTCTCAACTGACCTCTACGAGCTCCAGCTCTATGAATGTGATTTAGACCTTTTACGTTCATTCAAACAACAAAGAGAAACGACGGATACTAAATAGCATTAAGACGTATTGTAACTATAGTTGAATGGCACCTCTAGCCCTCTACTCAGAACGTAAAGGCACAATGTACAACTCAGGAAGAGCTACCTGTTTTGAAAGTTCCTTATCCACCAACCTTTAAACAGCTACTTGATGCCTGGTCCAATAACAGAGCCCTATAGGCTTACCAGCTGAAGCCCAGGTACTGCATCCTGTGCTGTAATACTGGCTCCCCACTTTTGCTGAGTGGAGTTATGGTCCCTGATTTTTCTTTTAACAGTATGTCTTCAAATACATGCGTTTATCATTCACTGGGATTATTAGAATGCTCTATATGGAGGACAGAGGTGCCATAGTCCTGTGATCCAATCTCTTACCTATTATTGGGTTCAGAGAGGTTAGCCCAGAGACTGCCCTACTGTCTGCCAGCCCAAATGAGGGACTGTACTTTACTTCTTATCCGGCAGTCAAGGTACAATGCACAGGTTTTTGGGTGTGCTCCTTAGACAGGACCACAGTCAGTCCCCATTTGCTACACAGTCAGGAGGAAGCCGCAACAGTATCACAAGTAATTCATTATGTATGCAGAAAGCTGGTGCCATAGTAAGACCATGGTATCTTAAATACACCAATTTTTAGCCTCGAGCAATTGGGTAATTCACTCAACTTGTCTGGGCATAATCAGGGCTTGTTTCATAACAAAGAAAACAAATGTGAGAGTTCTCTTCACTGTTTTTCACATCCTTGGTCTATTTCTCGCTAAAGGTGCCTTCTTGTCAACGGTGGATAAATTGTCTGGACTAGCCAAGTTATCTGTGTGTAGCATGCTTTCATCATCATTGGACAAAAGACCAGTTCGACCACTGACTGCAATGAAGGTAAGGAGGCTTTGCCATTTTCTCCCTTCTTCTTTTTCCCGTATTGTGAAATTCAATAAATTCATCCTTAATTAACAATAACAATAGCTTCAGAATTACTCGAGCTTGAATTTTAAAGTGACAAAATGACGTTTCACAATTTATATCGACACACTGAAGTAATGCAATTAATGTTAGCCACCTTCAAACGGTGGCCTCAGGTCTTTGAAGTAAAGTCAACTTGTCTGGTTTAACAGTGTAGCAGTGAATTAGGTGGAAGGACAGCGGCCAGGCAGGAGGGAGAGCCAGTGCCATACAGGATTTCACTTCCATTGCAATCAGGGCAATCAGAGCAGAGCAGGACAGGCAGCACGTCACAATTTCATCTAGCAAATACCTACACTGGCAATCAAATCAGAAGCAGAGCTGGCATTATTCAGGATGAGTTGCGCACAGGTTCCCCTCAGTGACTTAATCTGGCTCGACTGTGTTGAGGAAAAATAGATGAGATGCTCTTCTTTTTGCTGCTTACTTTTTTTGTGGCAAGCAGATATGGTTGAATACATCCACCCTGATTGATGGAGCATGTGTGCATGGGAAAAATCAAATATGACTGGTTAAATATATTTTGGAGCTGCCACTCCATCTTAAAAAAGAAAAAAAGATCATAAGTCCTCTTAGGCTGAAGCACAAGCCTGGCTGTAGTTATCGTTTTGATTTGATTTTCTATGCTCATCACTGTAATACAAACAGAGGTTTTATTGTAGAATAAAGCATCTTCAGAAGTGTGTGTGCTAATTGTGCTCTGTTAGATCAGTTTTTTTCCTCCATAATATCTGTATGGATGTACATACAGCAAACACTGATATACGTACAGTATAGACCAGATGGGGAAAATGAGAACAATGCTGAAAGGAAAGACGAAGGAGCAGAGGAGAGCTAAAGATAGAGAAGCCAGGAAGTATGAACTTCTGAGCTGTGGCAAATGTAATAGACTTGCTGACATCGAGCTCAGGTGTCATGTCTGACTGTGTCTCTCTGTTTCTCTCGCAGTTGGCCAGTAGTGTGAATTGAAATTGAATTTTTTTCTCATTCTGAAGGGTTTTTTTATTTTCTGCTGCACCATGGTTAGATTATTTTCTAACTGAGCAGATCCCAGTGATATGTGAATGTGAACTATGTGTGTGCGTGCGCGCACGCGTGCGTGTGTGTGTGTGTGTGTGTATGTCGTCTACTTTCCTCACATTTTCATTATTTCTTTCAGTCTTACAGCTTTCATAACACACTGTAAAAGGCCAAGTAAATGCTCCATGGGTGAGTGAGGGGCTGAACAGGAAACATGTGATTTTAAGCTGCTTTTAGTTAAATTTTATATTTCCAAAACAAAACTCATCATAGAAGTCTAAACTAGGCCATATTCAAGTGCTGAATATCTCTGCCCGTGTTATGAACATCACTGTTAAACCATTTATTTTCTCAGCATGGGAATCCCTACTTGGGGTCACATAGGCCAGGGACATATCCCTGCATGCACTGCAGGGAGGCAGGCACCCTGGAGAGGTAAAACAAATCACTCACAGTCACAGCAAGTTCCGCCTCCTTGCCTCTCTAAGTGCAAGTGGCATCACACAAACTGCACAAAGATGAAGGCTGAACCCTCATCATCACTCTTGCTGTGGGTAAACAGTACGAACCAATGGGTACCACCTGAACTGAGGCGACGTACCTGAGCCTGTGATCCCAGGTTCACCCGGACAGGACGCGGTGTTGTTGCACATGCGCGTTTCCCTCAGGGCGCCACTGCACAGTGTCCCATAGGGAGAGGAAACACACGATCGCGTCCTCACTTGCCAGCCTTGCCCACACGTGAGCGAACACACGCTCCACTGTGACCACTCCTCTGCTGCGGGGTCACCTGAAGAACGAGCAAGGTGCGGAAAGAGAAGATCATTCTTTATATTCTCAGTATTGTATTGTTGGTGTGTCTATGAACACAAAAAAGTCAAGAGGAAGGGCACTGTTGCTCTATGGCTCATGATTCATGGGAGAATGAGAGCTGTTTTGTACGATTTTTAGCTTCAAACTGGGTAATTGTTTTAAATATATTTCAGTCAGACAAGAGTCTGACAAAGTCACAAAAAAACAGGAGTATGTCTCTTGTATGACAACTCTTGTACCTTTTCAGCTCTCATTTTCACAGAACTGAACGCAACAAAACATGTTTGCTTTATTGATTCCTGTTAGCAATTCTGAGGGTATTTTTTTCTTCTGCTTTTTATTTACTGAAATAAAATAAAAAAATTTCTTCATATTGGCAGTGACACCACTGCAATATTACGACAATAAAGAAAGACAAAGAAACCCATAATCTATGCAATTGTCGGGAGAAAAGCCTGCAAGTGACAGATGATGAAAAGGATTTGTGCTTACAATAACCAAACAGACTTTCTGTAGTTAAAAAAACATTTTTTTCCCTTTGTTCCTCCTTGGAAGACACATATCAAGGACTAAATTAATCATTTTTAGGATATAAGAGAGCTTTGCCTGTGTAAATCTATGGTATTTTCTCATCGTGTGTCATATAGTCATAGTAGCCAAATATATGATATTCCTTCCTACCATATGAATATGGGTGATATGATTATTTAAGCCCCTTAATGTGAATAAACCTCAACTGAATATTCACGAGTTTGAGTATCACCTTAAAACACATTCCTCTAAGATATTAGTACTCATCGAATTATGGTAACACGTATGATCTCACTGCTAAAGGGCTTTAGCCCTAAAAGCCTGTGTGTGTGTGTGTGTGTGTGTGTGTGTGTGTGTGTGTGTGTGTGTGTGTGTGCCTTCTTTGAGTCTGTGTTTAAGCGTACTGTATGTAAGATGACTTGATTCTGGTGTTCAGACATGAGTGTGGGTGATCTTGCGTTCTTCAGGCAGCTTCGCCCCATTGTTCCCTCTGCGCTACGCCCTTCATAAGTGAAAATAACGAGTGAAATCATTCTGCTTCTCTCTTTCTAAATTGTTTATGAGCGCCGTGTCCTTTGATGGAGGCATCATCACATGGCAAAGAAGGAAATCAAATTAATTGCATGTCCGTTAATCGCATTACATCTTCATTAACATGCCGTGAGTCAGGGCTTAAGCTCATCACACAGTGCCTGGAGGAATGGAGAATAGGGAGAGATGAGGGGGGCTGGGGAGGCGGGGTGGGGGGGTGGGGGGGGCAGAGGAGAAGGACAAGATGGAGCCAGGGGTTTCCCTCGCGGTAGGGACTCCCTCCTCCACACGGTAGTAGCAGCGAGTATTGAAATGTGTGTGTCTACATATGTGAGGGAGCTGAAAATCAGTATACGACCTATTCTGGTGTGGCTGTAGCAGCCAACATGTAATACCATGTATCATCTCATGAATAATTCAGTCTCTCTTTTCCAATCCTATTAATTATGTAAGATTTTAAAAGTCTCACACACTTTCACATATTCGCACATGCCAATGGTCAACTACAGTTTGGCAGCTGGCCTTCTGCAGTGCTTCAAAAAAGTAAATGTATAATAATTATTTTTATGGAACTGCTTATTTGTAGTCAAACGTACAGCCTGTAAAGGTCAAGTTGGCTGCAAACACACACCCACATGCACACATACACACACTCACATTACTCACCTGTTTGTGCCTGAAACACACCTGGCTGGTCAGCTGATCGTGGTCTCTGGGTCTTCACCTTCAAATCGTCATCATATGGATCTGAAATAGACAAAAGAAACACCTTCGCTTGAAATTGTCTATTTTTTTTTTTTCATATAGATTGAGTTGTTCATTTCAATATATTTAATTTACAGAGAAGCTAAAGGTGGGAAGATGAAGTCATAAAGATGCCTGGTTTGTTTACACTACACATTAGCATACATAGCATAAAGAAACTTGGTTTTAAGGCCTCAGTAAATAAATGCTCAGCAGCATACACACCCACTTTGCACATTCACAGAAGTTTTTTAGTACATTCAAAACACGACTCTGGCAAAATAAAAATACAAACGCCTACATTTCCTTGGCTTGATCCTTGTAACAGAATATTTAAGGAACACACTGATACACTTCAGCACACAAATCGTGGAGAAGTAGATAACAGAATGTCAAGTCTGCAGTATAATCTCAGAAAATCAAGGGGAAGTCGGTTCAGACTGGCTCATTATCTAAGAGGGAAAACAGAAAATGTCAATAAAAATATACATATTGAAATTCAGTCAGATAGCATTCACACAGCAAAGTAAGTAACAAAAAACTTTTATGAAATTGTGAAAATATATATAAAAAAAATGCAACTCCATGTTCTGATACATCAGAGACCTGATTTGAACTCAAACACCTAATATAAATGGCGAGCATCTGTGGAAAACAGAGAGTGTAGAGAGAGAGTATGGCCAAAGTGAAATCATGCAACATATCTAAGTCGGTTTTTATCTCATTTGGTACAAACATACGGAGGCATGAGCACAGACTGTTATGTTCTGTGCAAATGGATTTGTAGGCTTAGTTTCAGCAACACAAGACTTAATCAACTCCCTCGGCAGGGGAAACAATCTTTGATTTAACAGATCTTTTTCACTTGGGTATTTCTTGCCCATGGGATTTTTTGTGGTGGCTGCATTTACTCAAAGAAGCTGAGACATACAGCGTATCTAACGTACATTATCCACGTTAGTAGAGTGTGATTGTGTGTGTGTGTGTGTGTGTGTGTGTGTGTTTATTAGATTACAGAGAGCAAAAGTGATTGACACTGAAATGAGCTCGCATTAGCCCGTATCAAGGAGTTGACCAAAGGAAGAACACATCCACATACACATGGGCACGCAGCACACACACACACACACACACACACACACACACACACACACACACACACACACACAAGTGTGCTGAGTTTCTGTCATGACTGCTCAAACGCCCATCGCAACCAGACCTCTAATTTGTCCTTTTCCAGAAACAACTCTTTGTCAGAAAAAAGAAGAGATTTTTTCTTTATATGCTCTCCCTCTCGCTCTTTAATTCATACTGTCTGTCTCTCCCTCCCAGTCCCTTGTTGTGCGTGTCCTTCTCAGCAGGAATACTACAATAATGAACAACGTAATAATTTGGTTTGCCTGCTGTCTAGATGATATCTGCAGCTGGCTAGAGTGGGACAAAGAAATATTGTGTGCATGTGTGTGGGTTGCTACTTTCACTTTGTTTCGAAATAAATGTTGCAAAAGTATTTTTTTTTAATGCTCTGAATTTTGGAAGACAAAAGTCAGATTTCGCTTTTACCTCATCACTTCATCTCCACACAAAAAAGAATACTGCTGCATGTAATATGACAGTCAAACCGAGAGTAGAGATGCACATGCAAAGAGCCCAAACTTTTCATTGCTTAGCACAGTATAAATGCGCACTTGCATCTCCAAATCATCACCAAAATAACATGACTCATTCTCCTAACCAGCTAGCATTCATTAGCTAAAAACACAACAGAGAATGGTACTTGGTTTGATTTATGCAAACAGGAGCTTTTTACTTGTTTCAACGGAGAAACAAATGGTACAAGTAAATGGAAAGAAGATGGACAGCTTTGAGAGTTGGACAGTTGAAGAATTAAACAGTTGCAGAAGAAAACTGTATCTGTTAGACAGTGATATTCCCATCACACACTGACAGAAAGACATTTTACCATCTCATTGTCAAGTAGATATACCGAATATCCTGAGAGCCTGAGCACCAATAAAATCCATCAAATTTCTAAATAAATGCCATTTTCAACAGAACAGTCTACAATCTCAGGTCAGTATGTCAGGTCAGCTCCGTCAGTATGTACCTTGTACAGTTTACAACAACTGTCTAAATATAATACAACAGTTAATTAATATATGATGTTTTTGTAATTAATTTATATTGATTTTGTAATAGTTTACAATATAGTTACAATATAATGGACCATTTTAAATTCTATTATTGTCATTTTTAAGTTATTAACATGTACAAAGGGTTCTGGTCATGCTATTTTTTTGGAAGTAAATACACTAAAAGGTCATACAGAAATTATTGTCATCTCTTTTAGATAACAGAAACCAACACTGATGTATATGTGAAATGTTTGCATAAGTCAGGCCCAAGCTATCCCACAATGAATCCTGCAACATACATCATTGGTTTGTTAGTATTTTTCTTTCCTGGCTTTCCTAGAACACAAGAAAATAGTAATAAATCAATTGAAAACTGTGTTTTTTGTGCTTTAATAGAGCTGCTAACATTAGCATGCCTGGCTAACTCACTTACCACCTGCAGTGGTAACCTAGTGTACCTATCGTAAAGCCAACTACATTAATTTGAGGTAATCTTAAATTTGGCCTAATGCTTTTACTGTTGTAAGAGTTAAAGATGCTGTTTGAAAATACAAACAATATACTGTAACATGAATTTGACCTCTGCGTTGCTTGTCCAAGTAAGTTTTTCTATATTCATGTAACTATATAGCTCATTATCTAGCTATTGCTTGCAAAGCTAAGACCCTTTTACAAAATTCTCATTTTAAATTGAATTCCACATTAAAAAGTCAGCTGGAGAGTAATTTTAATCATTTCATGCAGTTTGAGCGGTAAAGTTAGCCTTAACAAACGCTAGGTAGGTAGCTACAGCTAATGAAATCTGCTGCCAAAATACTGAGAGTCCTGTCTGAACTCAAGGACCCATTGTTTAAGGAATTACTATGTATTTCAAGTGGTAAATTTGCCACTTGTAGTTGTAAATTGAATGTACTACAGTAGAGTGGATTGGTTTAGAGGCATAGCAACAGTAACTGAGGGGGCGGGGCTTAGCGAACACTCAATTCCAAGTTCTCCTAATCCTCTTCAAATTCTTCCTGCTGGTCATGTCTGCTAACAGGTGCCACAAAGCTAGCAATGCTGCTCATGTTCTCATCAAAACCTGTGCTGCCAATACAGCATTACAACCCCACTGATCCACCATAGAGAGTTTGGCAGGTTTAAGGTCTGACTGGCTGCCTGCTGAAAGGATTCACGGGTAACATCAGTAGGAAATGATCCAATGAAACAACAAGACTTCGATGAGATAGGATAAAGTTTTTGAATTTAACTTTTAAAGATTTCAGGAAACGCATTGATTTATTTTGAGAGTGACAGCAGAGGAAGAGGTCGGTCCAGAGCTGGGAGTTTCTGAATCATTTTCTGGCAGAATCTGGCACAAATTAAGCCCTGTATGTGTATGTGTATGTGTGTGTGTGTGTGTGTGTGTGTGTGTGTGTGTGTGTGTGTGTGTGTGTGTGTGTGCGCATGCATGCGTGCGTGAGTTTGTGTGGATGTATATTCTCCACTTCTGTGCTTCTGAGAAATAGAGGTCAGTGAAGCAGGACATAGGAGTAATGCCTCACATAAAATGACCAGTGATCACTACTTTCCTTCTATCTCTTTATTTCCCCCTCTCTCTCTCTCTCTGTCTCTCTCTCTCTCCCGGCCTTTGTTTGTCCCTCTTTTTTCTCTCTCCATTAGGTCTACGGCACAAAAGAGGATTTAGATGGACACTGGTGTGGAGTCCGGTACAATCGAAAGTAAAGATCAATATGGATAAACCCCTGAGAGAACTGACCTTTACAAACCCCACTATATTGTTTAATGTTCTGGACTGCACTTTAATGGACACATCATCACACACTTCATCAAATCGTCTTGCCCTCTCTAATCTTTACTTTTTTCCACCTATTTCAGCTGTTTCTTCATCTCCAGGGGAATCTATTTTCCATCTTTAGCTGGCAGTATCACTTCCAATTGTGCGTAGGGTCAATAATCCCATGATTGGTTGGGAGCAGACTTACTTGTAGTAGCAGCACCTGGTGTTTGAGTGTCATTGAAGGTAAAATAGAATCTTCCCCTGACACATGAAGAGAAATAATCATGGGACGTCATCAGGCTGTTCTAAGGATGTGAGTCTGGTTGAATCTGCCTTCATACAGCTGATTTACTTTCATACACTTACGTACATGATGAAAGAACAGAACTTGAACTGAGGAACCTCTCATCCCTTGTTTTCAACCCATTTCATCTGTCTCGTGCTCTCCAGGTGAATACATTCTCCCTTTATAGGTGCATCTTGTAGTTAAGGTCAATAATCCTGTGATTGGCTGAATGAGAAGGTTGCGATGTGATATTTTGGGTTCACAGTTTCTAGTAAGGAACACATTGTAATGGACTGTGTAATATGTTTAGAGTTATTATGAGGTTATGGGTGTCACTGTGTTCATAGGTGTTTGTTTGGTTGGAGAGCAAAGGATAAAAAAGAACTGTATAGTGCAGCTACTTTTGTTTCCATGGTGAAAATATACTGTTAGCTTCGACTCGTGAAACCTGTGATTTCATGTACCTATGACAGTGATTTGTGTGAGGTAGGATAACAGCCAGTGTACTGTCCGATCATAAAATGTCAGCAAAGGCAGGTTAAGTGCACGTCAAGTCATAATCTGTGACATTTCCTTTTAAATTAATGTCTTTTATCCTATTTTCTGTTGCCAAATGACATTGACTGGAAAATGCAAGTACAAAGATACTGGTCCTACTTTTCTGTTTATTAAAGGTCGACCATTGTGTTTGCCTAGTTGGAACCAAACAGCTAAGAATAAAGCAACAGCATCTCATCTGTTTCTCTTCCCCACAAATAAACAGTTGATAAAGTAGCATGTAGGACAAAGTCCCATTCACAGC